CCTGCTAATATTTAAAAGCCCCTGCCACAACTGTATTTTACAAGCATTTTCATTTAAAAAAAATATTTGACACATGAACACTATACAGACCTTCTCGCAGAATACAAAAGTAAAATTTTATTTTGCAGTTTCACAGACTGAACTTTCAAAAAAATCTACAAAAATTCCCCTGTAAGAAATCACTGAAATTTACTTTTTAAAAAAAAAGTTTTACATTTCCAGAAATTATCTTATTACAGGACAGCCTAGGACTTGATAAACACCAAATCTCACAAAAGGTACATGGAAAAGTTACCTTCCTTGGTGAATGGGAAAACAGACACACTAAATTTCTTCTATTGCTATGCAGAGGGATGGGATTCATTCTACTTAATTTCAAGCCCTGGAGACACATCTCTCTCCACTGATTTTAGAGCATCTCGGGCAATCAGTCCTAACCTATGCACATTGGTGAAGCGCCTCCAGTTAAGTGAAATGAATTCAAGCCAGTGTCAATGGCAAATTAAAAAGAAAATGAAAACCAGATATAACTTTCGTTACCAATGTCTGAGTATCCAGAAAACTGTTTTTCCTTTCTTTATTAATGAAACGTTTTATGCATAAATTAGGTTGGTGTAATTATTCACTTTAAAATATACACAGTCCACCCTTAAAAACATGCATTAGGGAGGGCCTGTGACAACTATGGCAATTCCAGCAGAGTTCTCTAGGCAATGACACAGCACCTAGAAACTAATTGACCCTGCCTCCTCTTCTGCAGAGCAGTGTGCGTGCAGATGAATCAGTATAAACTGTTTTTCTACAGAGAGATGTATTTCCATGGTGGAAATACTCTTATTTTTTATGCATCCTTCCCCAGAAGAGCCCACATACATGAACTTCAAAATGCCTCCTCAGTTTTCACTGAGGCAAGGAGAAATACATGTTCCTGTTGAGAATAGTTACGGCATTTCTTCCTTGCCAACACAAAACCAGAATGGTAATGCTGTCCCTTCGGCCCTCTTGCTATTTGTGATGGTTAAAAGTTAATCATCTTCACTTGCTATGCCTTCAGCATTAGCCGTTGCTAATGGAAGCATGTACATGGAACACTGCTCAGCTTCGGCAGGGTGTCACAAGCATTAACAAAACTGCATGGTTACAAGTTGGTAAACACCAAATAAGTTTTTCCAATTTTTTACTACCAAATATATTTACATGGTAACTATTCTAATCTGATGAGTTTTAATGATCTGAAATATCTTCCCCTCCCCACCCCCCCAGGATCAAGATGAGAGTCTGCTTGCAAGAATGTTCCACCTACATCTGAAGAATTTTACTGTTATGCTTCATCACTGTTCTGCAGTATTTGATTCATAACCAGATACCAGAAAATGTTCAGTAATATATTGCCAGTAAGAAAATGTATTAGTCTTCATTATACTAACATATCACAACATAAAGTAGATTAGCTGTAGCGATTGCTCCCCTATTATCCTTGGAATGTTGCATTTTATTCCTATTCTAAGGAATAATCTATATGTTTTAATATATAGCATATATATATATAGAGAGAACACGCTTCCCTCTTTGCATCTCAATAAAAGAGAAAAAGAAGAGGAGGAAGAAAACTAAACACACATGGTTCAGTGCATAAAAATGAATTAGATAAAACTGTAAATTTGGAGCACTGGTATAGCTGAAAGAAAAGCCAAGTCACCAGGCTGGAGTTCAGAATCGAAACACACTGTGTTCCAGGAACAGAGCTGGTATTCCAGCTAAAAGTTATTTGTCATCTGTTGGCCCTAGTTTCAGATGTGACTGGAGTTTCTGATGGTCAAAACAGGACACCTTAAATATTTTTTTTTAAACCCTCACAGTCTTTTGAATTTAGGTGGGTTTTTTAAAAAATTATTATTAAAAATAAATGTGTTCCAAGCCACATATTTCAAAGTGATAAGTTAGAAAAAAAGGAAAATCCGTCACATAATTCATTCGTTAGAAAGGACAGAGTCATCTGTCTTCAAAATCCCAAATGAAACAGTAATTCAAAAAGAAGATGTGCAGGTACAAAATGTCCCTGGAAGTATCCCAAGATGCTTTATACTTTGGGATTAAGAACATTTTCATCTAGCAGAAATACTACAGGAAAAAAGTCTATTGAACTCATATTAAAGATAGGAATTCCCCTCTATTCTAAGGATAAACATCAAAACAAACGTGCAAACATCTTGTCTCTTTAGGAAGACAGGCACACAAAAGAAGTAGAGGAATAGAAGTGGCTAGTAAAGGATGATTTGAATTTTTTAAGGCCTTAGCATCCTATTAAATTCATAGGATGGGATTGTTAGAAGCTTAGTGTAAGTATGAAGATGAAACAGGAGTGAATTAATTTAAAAAGACTAGCACAAGGCAGTAATTATAATTAGTTGAAAGAAATATGAAAACAAACCTCATGATGACTATGTCTGTGTGTACCATTACACAGACATAAACTACAAAAGGTAGAGACTATTTACAGTACAGGCATGCAGAGATACATTGTACAAATATAAATAAATAGGTTCATCAGTTACCCTGAGCACATGAACCCTGAAATGCTGTACAGAATTTTATTAGACAAGGTTACAGGCATATAAATAGGCAAATACTGTATTTTCTGTAAATGCACAGATTTTATAATTTGTATAGCTTTCATTATTATAGAATCATAGAATCATAGAATCATTAAAGGTTGGAAGAGACCTCCAAGATCATCGAGTCCAACCATCAATTATTCCATTTTTCACACACATTTAAATTTAATAAACTCCTTTATTCTGTCCAGACACAGAAATTTAGGCAACAGAAAAGAGATGGTTACTCCTATTCTACCTTGATCAAAGAAAAGACTTCTTCTCTTTTCCTCAGCAGTTAAAGTTCAGCTTTCCAGTTTTCTTCTTTATTTCAAACAACGAACAGAAAAGCAGCAAATATGAGACAATGTTAATCTTAATGCAAATTTTCTCAAATGAATAAAAAAGTAGCACTTTTATTAATATTAGCATATTTATGACTAACTTTCATCCTGAACATTATCTTTGTGTGGTTATTGTCTGCAAACACTTTTAGCTGCTGGAAACATATATATGCTGGGAGATTTACACTTAAATTTAGATAAACAGAATTGTTACAGACAGCCAAGTTGTCAGTTAATGACCCTCAACTTCAAAGATCCAAGGGAAGATACTGCACAGGAAAGCATCAAATCTGAAAACTGGCACTCTTATTTATATTCTCTCATTTCTTATTTGTCATCACAGGTGACATTATGGTGGGGGTCTGCTACAGATAAACAGAATTGTTACAGACAGCCAAGTTGTCAGTTAATGACCCTCAACTTCAAAGATCCAAGGGAAGATACTGCACAGGAAAGCATCAAATCTGAAAACTGGCACTCTTATTTATATTCTCTCATTTCTTATTTGTCATCACAGGTGACATTATGGTGGGGGTCTGCTACAGGCTACCTGACCAGGAAGACAGAGCGGATGAGGCCCTCTATAGACAGACAGGAGCAGCCTCACACTCACAAGCCCTGGTCCTCATCAGGGATTTCAACCACCCCGACATCTCTTGGAGGGACAACACGGCAGGGCATAAGCAGTCCAGG